ACATTGAGAATTATTTGGTGCAACTGATAAGCCATGAGGTGAAGTGCTAATCATTTGATCCTATGTTAGTACAATTGAGTATTCCTAAATCAGTGCAATTAGACATTAATGTATTAGTGCAAACATGCACTTCTGTATCAGTGTCTTCGAGCACTCGTGAATTAGTGCAATTGAGCACTCTTGTATAGTGCAATTGTGCACCCATGTATTATTGCGAATACGTACTCCTGTTTCAGTTCAATTTTGCACTCTTGTATTAGTATCAATGGATACTCCTGTATCAGTGCATCCATGCACTCATGTATTAGTGCAATTTTTCATTCCTTAATTAGTGCATTCGTACACTCCTGATTCTAGTACATTTGTGTACTTCTGGCACTATATGTGCAATTATAGGTCTCATAATGTTTTGACGTTATGAATTTTCATTCTGATATTTGGTGTAGTGAATGCAGTATTCTACTGTACCTATATTCCTGTTACTTGGGTTATTGTGTATTGTTATGCGATCTAAAAGGTATAAGTTAAATAGATTGAATTAAAATATATATATATATGTGTGTGTGTACGCAACTAGTGTTATGCATGTAAAAGAAAAAGACTATTATAAGTTAAAAAATATGATAGTCACGAATGCTTTATTTTGTTTGTAAAAAATCATATTTTATTGTCATATCAATATAGTAGGTTATTATGTGCTAGGACTCACGAAGCTCAGAGATTTATAGTGGTTCAACTCCCTCAATGAAATCTACATCCATTACCTAAGCTCCTCACTTAGGATATTCCAACAAATCCACTAATTTGTTCTTTTTTTTTCAAGGATCAAGAGTAACCTTTACAAACCTCCTATCTTTTCACTTGGCTAAGATAGAACCAAAAACCCATTTACAAAAGAAAAGAAAGTAAACAAAGAAACTTCTTAAAGGCAGGTGTTTACAAAATTAAAGCTCATAAAAACATAACTATTTACAAGAGAATAAAAATAAATAGTGAAAAGCTCTTCATATTTACAAGAGAATAAAAATAAATAGTGAAAAGCTCTTCTCTTATGTTTGGTTGCTTGGATAGGTGTTTTAACCCTTCTTCAAGTGTCTTGAACTTGTATTTATATATTGGAATATGTTTGTGGCCATTTCTAGCCGTTGGGGATGAAGTTTCGTGCAAAATAAAGCTGCCCAGTACATAGAGTATCAATACTTCTTTTATGGGTATCAGTACTTCCTTTGTTATTTTTAAATAAAATTATATGTTACTAGCCTTTGGGCCTGAAAGTATTGATATATCCTTCATGGTATCGATACTACTATGTAAAGTAGTATCGGTACTCTTTTGGATATCGATACCTATTTTGCATTCTGGAATTTGAGCAAATTGGTAGTATCGATACTAGCTTGAGAGTATTGATACTTCTCTTACCTAGGGTATCAATACCACATGAACAATATTGGTATTGTTTATATAATATCAATAATGTAAGAACAATATCGGTACTTTGCACGCGAAAAACTTTTTTTTCAAATTCTAGTTTATTGGACTTTGAATTATTTTTGAAAACTTTGAACAAATTCAATTAAGTCCAAAAACATTTTGCCTTAATTTGATATATCAAATTATTACAAAACATTGTTCAACAATATTTCCAATTTTTATATAACAAAACATTTTAAAAATATATTTTTGGCAAAATTCCCCCTTAATAAAACATTTAATGAAAAAGAGCAATATTTGGAATAAACTTAAAGCTACCCTTTTTTATTTTTGAAATTGAATTTTTCAAACACATACTTCTCCCCCTTTTTGTTATATAAAAAATAATTCAACTTTAAAGTTCAAAAATAACCATGGAGATAAGTAGTAAATTTACATTAAAATTATTTGAAAAATCAAAGCTTCCCCTCAATAAGAACATTCCAAACAAAAATTGACTTTAAAAGCATGACACTTAAAAAAATTGAATTTTAACAAAGATGAACAAACATTTTAGTAGCACATAAAATTCAATATATCTAAGTCTAATAAACTTTATGCAATATCAATTATTGAAATTAAGTGCATGAGCATAAAGCTATCCAAAAATGTTATGCATTTGAAAAATTGATAGATATTGTTAGAGATATATCATTTGCATTTAAAACCACATGCATAAACATTTACATTTAGGTCAAAAATCAAGATTTGTAAATTCAAAGCATTTGAAAAATTGATATCAATTGTTACAGATATATCATTTGCATTTAAAACCAATTTTGACCAAAATTCATTATGATGAACGAAATTTTTTGAAAAATCATTAAAACTTTAAAATATTTATCATAATACACTTTCAACATACATGAGATGAAAAACAATGCATAATCATTTAAGATTAAAAACTCATGCATGTTTAAAACAAATAGGCAACCAAATAATAAAAACAATAACATTAAGCTTAGAGGTTACCCATCCCTTTTCAAGTGTGGCTAGAGCATTTGAATATCTTCATTTTCATCACCATTACTCCACACATTTATAAGAGACATTTATTTGATTTTGGTATCCAAATTACTTTGGATCCTTGGATGTTAGTTTCAATGCCCCTTGTTCCCTTAGGAACTCATACTTGTCTAATTTAAAAATATTTTTTTAATGGACAAGTATGTTCCAAATGACCATGAAAATGACAATGCGAGCATTTTGTCATTTTTAAACATAATGAGTTGTTTTCAGAAATTAATTTTTTTGTTAAACTTTCAAGCTTAACTTTTAAATCAAAATTTTCTTTTTCTAAATCATTGATTTTGATTTTTGAAAGCTCTAAATCATTTTTAAAAGTTTTATTTTTTTTCAAAATCAACTTTTGCTTTCAAAATCAAATCATTTTCAACTTTAAGTTTTGAAATTAATTTCTTATATTTGAAATTCATGGTCTCAAATTCCAAATTCAACTCATTATAAGCAACTTGTAACTCATCAAAAGAATAAGAATCTAATTCACTAGAGTTTATGAGCGCAATAATTGACCCATATCTATATCCTGACACTTGCATTTTCTCATAACCAAAGTATCAATGTGATATGTCTTTGTAGTAACTATAGTGTGCCTTACAACATGATCAACCAAGGATGCCTATGTTGAAGAAAATAGTTCCTTAATAATGCAATCGTATGAAAAGGAGTCACTTTTTTTTTCGAGTTGAGTTTATAGAATTACAATTCAAGTGAAGAGTCGATTTTTTTAACATCGAATAAAATATGCGACTGTTTTTAGTTGAATTTTAATTTCATAAACTCAACTCGAAAAAAGTTCAAAAAAAAGTGACTCACTCCTTTTCATACGATTTCTTTATTAAGGAACTATTTTCTTCAACATAGGCATCCTTGTTTGATCATGTTGTAAGGTACACTATACTTGCTACAAAGACATATCACAGTGATACTTTGGTTATGAGAAAATGCAAGTGTCAGGATATTTATTTTGCTCAACTCTGGATATGAGTGTTAGATAGATTCACATGCCCAACATGGGTTAATTGAATTTTCCCAGTTTTTTCATGTATTTAGAGGAACCATGAAAGATTGTATATATATTAAAAACCTGAGAAAATTGGACACGGATGATAGGAAAGGTTACCTCAAGAAAAAAAAGGCCGGTTGTGGTCTTCCTATATTGGGATGGACGAGTCTCTCTCCCATTGGAAGTTAGATTTATTTAACGATTTCGTTTGTGCTTTGTTTTACAGATACTCTTTCCAGACCCCAGAAGGGTGGAATACAGATGACGAATACAGATCCCTGTGTTACATGCGACCTTTAGCAATATGGGCAATGCAATGGGCACTCACAAAGCCAAAACTCTTCACAGAGGAGATGAAACATCCGTACGGAGAGATTGATGACTATGAAAACCATAAGCAACATTTAGGATTTTCAAAAGTGGCTCACCTCTTAAAGCTGCCTAATAAGGAGGAAACTTCTAAAAGCTTCCTACAATCCCTTTTTCACTTCATTTGCAGAAGAGTTCCAATTTGATTTATTCACACACACTATTAATAACATAAATTGCTGAAACTAAATCCTCTTAAGGGGCGTTTGGATGGTGTAATGTGGGATTCCCAAGAGAATAGAATCCACATTCTTTGTTTGGTTAGCCGGGAATCTCATTATCGGTAATATAATATTACCAATAGTGGATTTTTGGGGTATATTACCGGGAATGTCATTATCTACATTTCCTTAGGTATTGTTAGATTACTGGCGTTTTGGACTAAAATGTCATTTTTTCCCAAAAATATCATTATTCTGTTATTTAATAATAAAAATTCTACGAAGGTTAAATTACAAATTTATCCTTAAACTATTTTAAATTTACAAAAAAAATCTATAATTAAAATTTTATATAAAGTTCAGGGGTTAAAATAAAATTTTACCCTATCATTAAACATTTTTATATTTTCAATTTTGTAAAAAAATTATATAAATTTTATGAATTTAATTTTTTTAAAGAAATATATAAATATTTTCCAACTTGTTAAAAAAATAAATATATATAAGGACAATTTGGTTAAATATATATTCCAATAATCTTTTATTCCTTTAACCAAACACGATAATCTTACATTCATGTTAAACTAACCAAAAACAAAATACAACATTCTCAGTAATCCTATTCCCTGGTAATCTTACATTCCCACTGGTAATCTTACATTCCGTGAATCAAACACATCCTAAAGAGAATCGAGTGCTGGACAGTTGACTCGATTTGATAGTTATTGCCTAGTCAATAGATTGAATGTTCAACTGCCAACGAATAATCCTTTTATTTGAGAGAATCAATTTTTGTATATCCCATTATTGGTTTTACTATCAATCTTCCCCTACAAGACTTCAACCATAGAAAATCAATAGATCAAACTATGCATTGATTGGTTTGTAAATGGCAGGCCTAGTATAGACATGTAGGTTTGAGCTTCGAAAAAAGCATAGCTAAATTCAAACATTTCACCCAATGGAACACAATATGAGAAGCAATGAATTTATTTAAAAGTTCGGGGAAAAAAATGAAACAATCGTATTTAGAATGCTGACCTTGAAGGTCTACTATATTATATCCTTGTTCTGAGAAACAATCTCTAACGACTGCAAAATGGAATAGTTAAAAGAAAAAGTGTTGGAAACCCATTTAAGCCGTTGATTCCTTCAAATATTCAATGAGATCGGCACGTTCCTGTGGCTTCTTCAATCCTGGGAAAACCATTTTCGTTCCAGGGATGTACTGCACACAATCTTACCCTTGTGAGTAATAGACATAGCTGGTGATTTCCAACATGATAATAATCATACACGAATATATTGAAATCTACTATATAATATTAATCATTAACATTACATTATTTATACAATATATAAAATGTTAGACAGGATTATGATTTGAAAAATAATACAAACACAACATCAATACATTGATTACCAAGTTAATTTCTGCTACAAAAGTAATACATAGATTACAATGTTACTTTCTGTAAAGAATGGTAAGAGATTTGATAATAACAAACAGCCAAATCGGAAACCACAAAAACTATTATCCAAATAAACCCAGCAGAAATGATTTGAATACCTCTGATTCTTATTATCCAGATAAACCCAACAGAAATGATTAGAATACCTCTGATTCTAACATAAAAATTCAATTTCACATATGAATAACATCAAGAGAGAATGACAGTCCCTAGCTTCCCACAAGTCCTCAGCTATGTTATCCAAACTCTATTTTCAGTAACTAAATGTCCGACAACCAGTGGCCGATGCGCGCCTGACTTAGGGTGGGCACCGAAATCCGAATTTTATTCAGTTAATTATTTAATTTATTGAAATTTCATATATGCCCCTCAAAAATATTTTTGGATTCGGCCACTGGACAACTAAGTGCAACAGATTTACAGAAACGAGTACGACACATGATTCTCCAAAAATATGAAAAAACTTTTGAAAGATCTACTATATCAATATCAAATCCTCACTTCACTCAACCAAAAGAAGATGGGAAAAACCCAGCTAATATTAATCTTCTTTCTATTGTCAATATCAGGAAAGAAAAAAGTAAAAACCAAATCACACTCGTCCAACCATAAGATTGCGAAAGAAAGAGCGAGAGAATACATATCTCCAATAAAAATTAGGCAGTTCATTAGAAAATAAAGAAGAAAATGATATTTCGAAAGAAGTGAATTACCTTCTTAGGGTTGAGAAGGTAATCATACAAAGTTTTCTCCTCCCAAATCACAGCCATGTTCTTATTAGCAGCGGAGTAGGAATAACCTGGAGTGGTACCCGATTGCCTTCCAAACAGACCGTTAAGATTAGGTCCTGCAACACATTTTTGTAATCGAGTCAAAAGAAATTTTCGAGCGCGTCAAAATCAGATTACATCGATTCCGAAATGACGATGAAGCATTTTCAACCTTGCTTGTGACCAGCGCCTTTTTCGACGGTGTGGCACTGAGCACACTTGGTCTTGAAAATCTTCTCCCCGGACTTTGAGTCTCCGGGCGGTGCTTGATCGAACGACGCCATCTTCGCTTTGTTCTTTGTTTATTTCTGCAACGGTGGGAAAGGTGGTTCTTGAGAAATATATTTTGGAAGGTTCGGAAGGAAGGAAGGAGCGTGGTGTAACTGTGACAATGCCAGACCTCAACAACCCATGTTCCTACGTGCCGCATTCGTAGCCGCTGCTTTAGAACAGCCGTGCTTCACTTTATTCCCACGAATATTTTCAACTTTTTAAACCTAAAATTAAATAAATTTAAAAAAGATTAAACCTAAAATAGTTATATTCATTAAATTATTTAAAATTTAAATAAATTAAATTAATTTATAAATATTAAATATTAAATTTACTAAATTAAGATTAAATTGCTAAAAAATGTATGATAAAGTACTTAAATGGTTCTCTAACTATATGATGTTATTTTATTGAGTCTCTGATTATTAAAAATAATATAATTGAGGAACATTTTATATACTTTATCCTATAATTGGAATATAAGAAAAGTAGGATTACTATTTTATAACCTTTAACAGTCAAGAGGATGCCATTTTGTTGAGTCTCTTGATTATTAAAAATTATAAAATGATCATTCAATTATTCATATGTTTTAAACTCATCATTTCCCATTAAAAAATAACAATTGTCTGAGTTGGACGTTAACATACTAATTGTGATATGATAAAATCATATTTTAACGATATCTACTGATACCACCATTGCTTCGAAGCACCAGCTCAACAATATAATGTAAACGAATAGTCAATTCACAAAATACAACTCAAACGGTTCTCGGATCATATTTACATATCTCGGTCAACGTATTAACGTCTAACTCAGACGAACGATAATCTTTTAATAGAAAAAGATGAATTTGTAACATATGAATAGTCGAGTGACCATTTTATAATTTTTTAATAGTTGAATGACTCAACAAAATAGTGTCCTGTAGTCAGGGGATCATTTTGTAACTTTTAATAGTCGGAAGACTCGACAAAGTAGCGTCCTATGGTTGGGGGACCATTTGTGTACTTTACACAATTTATATAAGTTTTTGAGACCATGTATCTCTAAGTAGAATCAAATCATAATATCAGTGACCAATTTACTGAAAGAAGTTTGGTAACCAAAATAAAACTCTGTAATAGTTGGCTAACCAAACATGTTGTTTATCCTTTATTCTATCTGTTCAACTCCAATTCCATCAGCCATAGCGATGTTTTTGGCAACGCTCTACAAATGTATGTAACGTACCAAGTCAGGAGACCTTCACCGGAAAGGGTAAAATAGCAATTAAAAAAAAATTTGCAAATTGGTTCACCTGGGAGGATTTTAAAAATTAATGAACACTTGTTTTTGGTTTAGTTCTCGAAGTTTGGCTTTAGCTAACCGCAGATGATACGGGCTTTGTTAAGCGCTCGGAATTTGCACCAGCGATTCTGTTTGAACATGGACTGGCTTCAGTTTTCTAGCGCTAAAGCTGGAAGAAGATGAAACCACTTGAGCGCTGGGAATTTGATCTGGAAACTCTGTTTCTTGCTTGTTTCTTTTTGAACATGGCTTTGCTTCAGTTTTTCTTAATGATAAAGCTAGAAGAAGATGACACCAGCCTTGTTGCTTCAGCGCTGGGAATTTGTATGGACAACTCTGTTTCTTGTTTGGTTCTTTTTTACACATGGCTTGGCTTCTGTTTTTTTAACGCTAGGGCTAGAAGAAGTTGACACCAGCCAGCCATGTTACTTGAGCAGTGAGAATTTTCACCGGTTCTGTCTCTTGGTTGGTTCTTTCCGAAAATGGGTTTGCTTTAGTTTTGCTACTGCTAGGACTAGAAGATAACACCAGGCTATCACTTTTCGATAATCCAGACAATCTAGGTAAGCTAGTGTGTGGATTAGTAGTTTGCATTTGGGGTATTTTCTTTGATTGAATCGTCACTTTTATTGACCTTGACCTAGCTTAACCATCTTCGTCCAATATTTGGGACTTTCTTTCGCAATGGTGCACTAAGCTAAAGTTACGAGAGGGTTTGGCCACTGCGTTTGTTTTTTAGTTGAGACATTAAATGTTGGCCCAGAAGTCATTTGAGGCAAGTTTTTAGCATCGCCTATGTTTCATAGATAATTTAACAGGACGGACACATATTTTATATTAGTGTAAATTTAAACTTATAAATTTTAGAAGATAAAAATAAATTTTTAATAGAAAATAAATAAAAATATAAAATATATAATAATTTTAAAATTTTAGGGGACTGACCCCACCCACCCCCTCAGTCCATCCTTGATTAACTATAGACAGGGATAATCAAGGGGTGTTGGGGTACAATTGCATCCTATAAAAGTTTTAAATTATCTTATATTTTACGTTTTTCTTTATATTTTCTATTAATTATCTACTTTCGCATATCCTAAAATTTTATAGTTTTTCTTCCCATACAATTTTTAATATAACCTTTAAGTTCACATCCCTTACATAAATTTCTACATCCATCATGGTTATAAAGATATCTACACAGACGGAAGTAAAAATTTATGTTAAAGGATAAAGTTTTAAAATTTTAAAAGATACAAACCTATAAATTACGAAAATTAATTACCAAAACAAAATAAATAAATAAAATAAAATATTTTAAATATATTATATTTTGAACATTTTTGGGTGATTGTTGACTATAAAATCTGATCCATAGAAGTTATCCAAAATTTAAGATCCAGTTTTAAAATGTCAAACAAATCGAAGAAATACACACATTTATAACTTTGTAAGAAAAGAACATAAAATATCAAGTTTGTTGTAGGTTTTTACTCGAGGAATATGCTATCGAAGTGTAGTTTCTTATGGCATTTTTCGCGAGATATATAATAATTAGGCTTAATTAGAAAACAAGTGTTTAAATTATATTATTTTTTAAAAATAGGTGTATAATTTTTTTTTAGGTTTTAACGTTAAATATTATATATTAAGTGTTTGGTCCGTAACATGCATTAAATTTTACCATTAAATGATACGTATCATATTTATATATATTTTTTGCAAAATTTTTATCAATTAAAAAAACTTTAAAAAATCAATTTAAAAAAAAACTATTTTTAACCCCCCTGCGGCCTGCCCTTCCCCTTCCCCTTTTTACAGGCTTCCAGCGGCACCAATTTCCCCTGCTTAGTGGTGCTAATTCAACCCCCGACGCTAATTCAATATCCAAAGTTAAGCTCTTCATGGAAGGAGGGATGGAAGAGCTCGCTAAGGTGCCAATTGGGGAGGTTGATAAAGCTAAGCATACAAATCCCAGCAAATACTAAATCTATTTGGGTGGATTTTATGTTGGGACTAAATCCCGAGACTGCTATTCATCATGGGAGGGAGGAGGGAAATGGGAGAAAGGGAGTGGGAAAATTTCCCTAGGGATGATAGAGAGGGTAGGGGAGTTGTAGAGAGAGGGGAAAGGAGGGAAATACCGGGAGAACACGTGGACAAATTTTTTTAACGACAAAAACATTCATTAAATTTAACAGTATGTTATAAGGTAATCACTAAGACATTATATAGGTGTAAAAGTTAGATCAATTTAATAATTATTTTATAACAATTCAATAAAATTTAATGATTATTTTGTAATAGATCAATAAATTTAATGGTCATTTTACGAGTTTTAAAGGTTTAATAGCTAAAATAATTATTTGAACATAGTTCAACGACCTTTTATATACTTTATCCGAGAAATATAAAAATGTAGCATAATGATAGGTCCACATTCTTCCACTTGTGTATATATATCTATATCTCATAGCTCTCCTATTGTTGGATGTTTTGTGCAAGAGCATTTTCTTCTCTCCTCTTTTTCATTCGTGTCATTGGTAAGAAAAGGAGAAATTGGCAGTCTTATAGAAGAGAAGGCTCTTGATCAAACGTTTTATGGCCATCATTATGATCATCAACAGCAGAGGCTTGATCGTTATAACAGCCTCGAAGAGAAAATTTCAGAGTTTTTGAACAACGGGTACGCAGATTCCGATGCAACCGACGACTATGGATCAGACGACAACGAATCCATCGATGCTCTCCAGCACGACCTTTACTGGGAATCCCAGGAAGCCCTTCTTCAGGTATATATTACCTCTTCAAACAAAATTAACCATGAAATTGACCCGGATTTGGAATGTAATGGGTTAGGGTTATTTATGAATTGTGCAGGAAATCCTTGAGCGTTATGCGTTGGTGGGTGCCAAGTTACGGCAAGAAATCAATGGAATTATAGAGGAAGCGAGAGAGACGGTGTTTTGCAGCTGCAAAAACCAGAAGCAAACGCAAAAGCAAAGCCCGAGGACTGAAGCCGGTTGCATCAACTGCTTGCGCATGAGAGTTATACATCTGCTTTGTCGCAGGGGACTTAACGCCACTCTCTGTGTCTCGAAGTGGAAACACATCAAGAATCATCGTGCAGGTCCTTAATTTCCCGATTCACACGATTTTACGTTAGAAGAGGTGAATTTATAACTTGTAATCGATAAAGATAAAACCGGGGTAATTGTTTGGTTCATGTATTACTCGCAGGGACGCATGAATACATCAAGGTGATTGCGAGCACACGGGCCGAAGAAGCAGATCCCATTTGTGATCGAACCGGAGTTCAGGGACGAATTCGAGATCGCGAAAGCATGCGACGAGTACATGAAACTGGTCGACAAATTACCGGAGTGTTACGTGGGGAAGTCCGAGTACCTCAACCCCATTGTGGGAGTGATGTGCGATAGCGCCAAGAGGTCGATGGAGGAGCAGAAACTCCATATGGGTCCATGGAGAAAACGAAGCTTCGTGCAGATGAAATGGTCTAATTCTTCATGAACCATCGAGGCAGGTGCTGCATATATGTTGCTCAAAATCTAGGAAAACCGCTGCTGCTGGGAATTGTTTCCAAACTAAACATCGACCCTTCTTGATGATGGAGATGTTAACTAGCAAGGGGCAGATGCATTTTTGGTCTCATTAAATGATTATCACAGTGGCCAACTATTATGAATACAAGTACTGATTGCTATATAATTATGAGATATATTAGAAATTTTGTCAAGGAAAGCAAAACCCAAGTCCATG